GGGAGAGAATGACTTATGAGATGTAAGTTCATTATTTATTTATTTATTTTCTTAGAAATGTTTAGTCCACCATAGAAATGATTCACAGACAGAAGGAAACAAAACACTGAAGTAGTTGGTGGATATTTTTAGCAGAAGGAAAGTGTTCTTTTCCCAAGGTTGAGGGAGAAAAAAACTTCTTTCTTTGCAGCCCATGGACTTAGGACCCTGCAAAGCTGGGCAGATATATTCCTTCTGCATAGGAATTGGTAAAAGAGTGGAAAAGAGGTGTAAAGTGCATGTAATAGGAAATCACCTTCACTAGTGGTATGTAGGATATTTCAAGGTGAGTGCTCCCTGGTCCCTTGTTGAAGCTGCTCTGCTGTGCACAATAGATTTCAACATTGTTATGCCTACAGGGGAGCGCAGCACTGCAGGCTGCTGACTTATGTGTTTATCCGAGAGAAAGAAGCAAGAGGTTCCCTTACCCTTCCCCCCAGTAACTACTATAATTAAGTAATAGAAAATTATTGTGATTAGTTTATTCAACCAAAATACTAGATTCTGTTCTATATTGTAATTTCATTTTGTTTGACTGAAACTGGTAATTTTGTTAATGGAATACAAATCATACTTCCATGAGGAGATAGAGTGCTTTTATGCTAAAAACAGGTATCAATGACATAGAAAGCTCAATTTGGTCACCACCAATGATCTGCAGTACTGCAGAAGCCAGATGGCCAAACTGCAGTCCTATTTTCTTTTCTGTCTTCTGGAAGTTAAAAAGTCCTAGGCTGCTCAGTCCTTGAATGAGATACTGAGGAAATCACAGAAAGCAGAGGAACAAACTGAAGAATATTGCTTTGTCGCTTAGATCAAAGACTCTGAACAAGGAGATGGACTTAATTTTGACACCCTGCTATGGCTTGTGGAAAGCTGATGGGGAGAGAGGTGTTGCCTAAGTACTGACTCTAATTCTAAGCATGTCTTCCAAATTGTTTTTTTGGGAAGAATTTATCACTAATTTTATCCTCCTCTACACCTCCCCTGGCCCTCCATGAGGGTGTTTATCTTCAGGAAAACATGGGGGTTTAGAAGTCTGAAGGGCTTCTGATTGTGTCTGAACACCGATGGTTTCTTTGAGATCACAGTTGTCAAAGCTAGTAGGCAAACAAATGTTAGAAAATGTATTTGAGGAACTTGCTCTCTAGAAATATCTGACTTAAAAAAATGTGTTAAAGGAATGCCTTTTTCTTAAAATAAGAAACAACAGTGGTTTCGATTTATCTCTTTCTTGATCTCAGAGATTGTTAGCATGATGAGTCTTATTGGCATTTACTGTCAGCAGAGAAATTATATTAATGAAAAATTGCAATAGGCGAAATAGAACAAGGACAATGAAAGAAAATACTCCTGATGAGCAAACCCTTTGTTTGTTCTTTGGTGTTTTAATAATGCTTGAAGTAATAATCTCCTATTGCTTAAAAAAATGTATAGATTTGTAAATAATGGCAAAAGCAGCAGAAACCTGAGTTTACCAGTTTTTACTTAAAAATAATTTCTTTGTGTCCTGGTGTGTTCCTGACATTTGCTCATTTTAGTTTTGTGCAAATGAAGATAGAGATCTTTTTACATTACACAAAATTATTCTTGTGTCATATTAATCTTGTGAGTTGAGTTGTTCATGTGAAGTCGCTCCTAAGAACTCTCAAGTATTCATTACCAGTATTACAGGCTTTATTTAAAATACTATTTTTACATGCACAAGCAAGAATACCAATTTTTTACCTAAGTGATAGTAAATGATTAATTAATATTACTGCTACATTTCAATCAGTGTGTTAATCATGTCCTCATAATCAGGTGAAGGAATGTGCCCTTAAGAAATAAAATATTTCTTATGTTTTACTAGACTGTAGAAAAAGAACCCCCATATTCTTAAAAATACATAGATCCAGAGCAGTATTTTCTCATTCAGCAACCAGGAAGTTTTGCCAGTCTGACAGATGACATCTTCAGTCTTTTCCTCCCCCAGAGTAATTAAGCAAAGCCTAAAACACATGCATGGGGTAGATCAGAGGACTGATGATTGTGTCACTGTCATTACAAAACAAGGTAGTGCCCAAGTGCCCAACCAGTTCATGAATCCCTTATCTGATTCCTTTCTTGTCCTAGTTAGGATGCTTTTCCTGTCCATTAGCAAAGTCATTACCAGGCAGATGTGGAGTTAGCAAGTGGGACAGCAGTGACTCTTGAACTACCACTCTGTCCTTCCCAAATATTATATCTGTTTTTTTTAGTTATGAAGCATGGTAAGTGATAACAAAAATGTTCAATCTCATCACCAAAAGAAGGCCATGAGGATGATCAAAGGGCTGTAAAACACCAGAGAAGAAAACACCTGGAGAAGAAAAGGCTCACAGGGGACTTCATCATCATCTTCCAGTACTTAAAGGGTGGCTTTGGAGGATTGAGGCTTTCTCTTCACGAGGAGCCACATGGAGATAACAAAGGACAACAGGTACAAATTGTACCATGATGGGTTTCATCTTGATATGAGAAAGAAAATTTTCAAAGTGAGATCAATCACTGAAACAGCTTCCCTAAGAATGGGATAAGAGTCCCCATCACTGAAGGTTTTCAAGACACAATTAGACAGTGTACTGGCAAATCTCATCTTTTCCACAAAAGGTTGAACCAGGTGATCTTTCAAAGACCTGAGCTGTCATATGGTTTTATTTCACACAGTAACAGTTTTTTGCTGTGTCTGCTTTTATAGAGTTGTTGAGAGACAATCTGGTACTCCACACGCCTTCACAGTTTGATATCTTCCTAAACCCATTCAATAAACATGCCTTTTCAGTAAGTTTCCTTAGAGCTATTAACAGACATCCTGGTTTGGTGGTGTCTTTGGCCCAGCTCATGCTATTCTATGTTCTGCTTTAAAGAACCCTTCAACCCACATTTACTAGAAAGAAAACTGATTTTTAATTCAGGTTTTCTTCAGAATTTATTTCTAATGAGATAAGAGAGAATGTGTGTATGGTAGGTAGCAGTTTTGTGGTCAGCTTTTGGATCTGATCTTTAATCACAGGTTACCATGGCTACATTGTTTGATTCCTCCTTTTCCTGGCAAATGTCTTTTCTGAGTTGTGGACATATTCAATTTGAGAAATGCTTCATATCTTAGTGCATGTAGATTAGATTGATTATGAATTTGTAAAAGAGTAAAACAGTTCTTTCAAAAATATCTCGGCACATATGCTATTCTCATGAAAGTTAGTGGAAATGCTGGCACTTGTATTGAAATAACACCAACCAGCCAACTGGCACTGAACATCTATTTGTTCCATTTGTACAGTCGAGTCATAGTGAATATTTATAAATTAAAAAAACCCTAAATTACTCAATAAGACTTGACAGAACAGACTTCATAATGAGATAATGTAGACCTTCAGGTAAACTACTAGAGGTGCAGTGTTATCTCATTACAACACACGTTTACTAAAGAATAGCATGCTCCAAGGCATGTATTTATACTGCAATACATTCCTGCCTCAGGCCACTTTTGAGGTATAAGGTGGAAGGACAAGTAGCTTAAAAACTTGAAAAGTAGATGCCTTTTAGTCTAACTGCATATATAACAGACAGCTGTATTCAGTGGTTTATTGAGTGTGTTAATTGTGAGCAATAAGGCTGAAAAATGTGTGTTCTAATGAATAGCTTCCCCTGCAGTTCAAAATATTTTCAGAAAGCAGGCAAAAACTCCAAAGAAAGAAATTCCAGTTGCATTCAAGGACTCAAAAGTATGTTGTTCTAAAGTTGCTGCTATAGTAGTAATAGTATTACGGGATACTCAGTTGGTCAGAGCAGCAGCTTAAATGTTGCTACCTTTCTGCTAGTGACACGAGAACTTAGAAAATAAAAGTGCCCAATCTATTTCATCTCCACTAAGGAGATGTGGCAAAGGAAGAGTCTCTTCTACAAATAACCATTTTATTGATAGTTCTTTGCTTCTAGTGTAGTGTAAATCTAGAGAGTCCCAGTGAAATTATTGGAGTGACATCAGTAAAATCAAGTGCTGTGACAGAGCATCAGATCTGCATCATGGAACTCTCTTGCCATTGAAATCAAGGAGAATTAGAGAATGATTTTGGTGCTGGAGTGATTTCATCCCCGGATATGTAGCTAGAAATTATAATGGACTGCAATGATATGATATATAGAAGTAACTTTCAAAGTCAGTGATCAGGGATTCGTGGTGCTCCATCGATCAGAAAAAATAACAAAATAATTTCCAGACTTTAAATGGTGTAAAGAAGGAAAATAATAATAATATAAAAAAGAGTGACTAATAGTGGTTCAGAGAAATGAAATCTGATAGAAAGGGGATGGAAAACTAAAGATAATTTGTTATTATTTTTATGCTTGTATTACACTGACATGGAGTGTCCCAAAAAATGTTGGAAGAAAAAGTTTCGTGTCCTAAGGAACTTCAGGCCAACACTAAAAAGGTCTGGTTGGAGGCCTGACAAACTAATTAATGAGGACAGATGCATGGGAGAAATCATAATACCAATTTTGCAATTGCTGTACTGGGCTTCCTATGTGTCAGCTCTGTGTAGTTCATGGCTGGCCTAACCACAGAGCACTTACAGCAGTATGCTGGAAAAAGGATGGTCTGCAAGAATATATATTTATTGAATAAGTAATAATTTGCTAGGGGAATTTCTACTTTGAATTCCAGTAGCTGTCTTGCCCTTACCTCTAAGGATAGTATTTTATCTCCATTTTCAGTAAGGATGGTAATAATTTAATTTTGGAGCCAGATCCAGATTGCTCTTAATTGTTGTGTCAATATCATTGTGATCAGACTTTACTTTTCATTTATGTGGCTGAAAAGTCTTTTGCTATTTGTTCTCATTATTGTTGCAGGATCTTGCTAATTTTGCAAGTTCTAGGGAAACTCCGTTTGATCTGTGAGACACATTGACCAATTATCTTTTCCTCTTTCCTTACAGACTTTCCATAGTGGACAAATAATGAATGCTGAAAACCAGTGAAATCATCAAGGCTGAGGCTCATCCCTCAGAAGGATACTGGGAGGAACATGAATGTCGGAGAACAGCATGACAAGCCATAACAATCACAGTTAAGTTTCTGTTGGCATTCTTCCACTATTAAAAATAAACTGTCATGAAGAAAAGAGAAAACAAACAAAGGGTGGCTGGAAAAATTATTTATTTGAATTGGGGAAAAAGGGGATATGTCGCACTTCCCTTTTAGTCTTTTTCAAAGCAAAATTCCAATCAAGGTATATTCAGTTCAAATTTTGAAATTTAAGGTTATTATCACAGAAGCGAAGAATCCCAGAATGGGTCAGGTTGGAAGGGACCACAGGAGGTCATCTGGTCCAATCTCCCTGCTCAAGCAGGGTCATCCTAGAGCACATGGCACAGGATTGATGGTTCTTGAATGCCTCCAGTGAGGGAGACTCCACAACATCTCTGGACAACCTGTTCCAGGGTGCGATCACCCACACAGTAAAGAAGTTCCTGCTTATATTCAGGTGGAACTTCCTGTGCATCAGTTTCTGCCTATTACCTCTTGTCCTCTTGTTTGGCACCACTGAGAAGAGCCTGGGCCCATCCTCTTGGCACGGTCCTTTCAGGTACTTGTAGACATTGGTGAGGTCCCCTCTCAGTCATCTCTTCTCGAGGCTGAACAGGGCCAGCTCCCTCAGCCTTTCACTGTAAGAGAGGTGCTCCAGTCCCTCAATCTTCTCTGTCACCCACCAGAGCTGGACACAGCACTCCAGATGCAGCCTCACCAGGCCTGAGTAGAGGGGCAGGATCATCTCCCTCAACCCACTGGCAGTGCTCTTCCTAATGCATTCCAAGGTACAGTTGACCTTCTTTGCCCCAAGGTCAAACTGCTGGCTCATGGACAGCTTGACCTCCAGGTCCTTCTGGCCCCCAGCTTGTACTGGTGCCTGGGGTTTACATTATAAGAAAAGATATTAGTTGTCGAATTCAAAACTTTCTAATTTACACAGCATTTTTTCCATAAAATTTTTAGCTTCCTACATTGCCTGTATTTTGACCTTTTCCCTCATTTTCAATGCATTCTGTCACTGGTTCCAGATATTAAGCCTCTACTTTCTTCCAGCTGGAAGGAGTGAGTGGAAGAAAAAGTGGATGGAAAATATGATGTCAAGGTTTCTTTAATTCACAGGTTTTCTCTCACAGAATATTTTCTGTTACTGCACCAAATAGCAGGAATCTAAGTTTTAAGATAGATACCTGGAGAAAAAAAAAAGAAAAAAAGAAATGAGAAAATTGAAATGATTGTTTTTTGTCAATCTTGGTGAAAAATGGGGTAATTGAGAAAAAATCTAACAGACTGAACAGTGCTCATACTTGATGGTCTTATTTTTGTGGAAGAGTCTCTTATATTGACTTAATGATATCTGCTGGAATTGAAACAACAGTGTCTACACAAGGGACTTATCCTGTTTAATTGCATCAGTTGAAAGTGATTCAATTTTTTTGGCAGAAACAAGCATAGGGAGATGGAAAAAATAAATGGCTATTTTTTTATAGTGAAATAAAGGGGAGGAAGCAAAGCAAACAACTTATGGCCCTGAAATACCATTATTATATCTAGGAAACCATGACCAAAAGATGCTAATTTGTTTCAACTCACTCACCGTGAGGGCTCCCTTTGATCCTCCTGCCTTTCTTAGAGTGTGATATTCTCACATTTTAATGCAGTATCATTTGACATTGAGATGCAGGGAAAATTGTCCAGTAAACAGCTTTCTTGTACTGATTTGGAGCTTGTGGGAAAGATTATAGTATGAGTTGGAGCCTGCCACAAGAGAAATGGATTATTACTCTGGGAACACTTACATCAAGGAGGACCCTTTTACAGCTGAAAGAGGCAACCTTTTACAAAGAGCTGTGTTCAGTGAACTCCTTGTCAGCTTGCTGAAAGTGCTAACTCACAGCATACAGGTCATTCCTTCCCAGAAACATGAGAGAAAAGCTTTAGCATGCTATTTGTGACTTTTTCTCCTTGAATGTAATGGTGTTTTTTACAAAATGACACCACATAAAAGAAAAAAACTAAAAATCAGATTTAATGAGACAGATGGTTTAGAGAGGAAGGAGAAAAGGAGTGCCTTAAAAGACGTCAACGCTCTGTTCACAGCGGCGTAAGCTTTCGACAAACCAGCCTGTGTGCTTCGGATAAAAATAGGGGTGGAGGTATTTTCTAAACAAAATCTACTTGTAATAAAACTCAGAGCTGGGTAACAAAGTCTCCCTGAATTTCCCTACCCCTGAAATGCTGCTTTTCTTCTTATCAGTTTCAGTGTTACAATAAAATTAGAAGCCTCACAAGGGAAGATTTTTAATTTTGTTTTTGAAAGACTTTTTTTTTTTTTTAGTCAAAGAGAACTATAGAATAAATTATTACAAGGACATTAAAAGGATTTCATTTCCTTGAGCATACATATGCATTCTGCTGCACCATGTCCTCTCCCTCCCAGTGTAGCCATTGATCCACAGCTTTTATAATGAACTCTAATAACAACTCTATTACTGTGAGGCTTCCGATTGGCTCAGGCACCCACAAAATTAGCTACAAAGAAGCCAGCTTGTCAATATTAATTCCGCCACAGAGATTACTTGTTATGGTAGAACAAAGGTGTTTTGGCTTGAGCTGAACGACTTAACTCCTTGTCTCATAAAATTTAAGCTGCTATTGATCTCCTTCTTCTATTGTGCTGAAAGAATAAAAAAAAAAGGCTGTGCGCGCGCAGACACACAGACAGACTGGTGTGCTGAATCACTCCGATGCATTCTCCTAAACCACAGCCGCCCCCTTCCTTCCTTCCCTTCTTCCCTTCCCTTTCCATCCCCTCCCTGTCTGCTAAGAATCATTCAGTAACATGAAGCAAATTAAATCAATGAATTCATCCTAGCAGATGGGTGCTTTAACAGTCAGTTAGCCTTTAGATAATTGAGGCGTTGACTCCGGAATCATAAAATGGATGGCTCGTTTGTACATTTTACTGAAATAGATCACCGAGGTTAAATAAATGAAATCCCATTTGTCAGGCGGTAATAAATGGCCTCCCCTTCTGCAAACAGCTCTGTTTGGCCTAATAAATACAGGGATGTTACAGTGCTCCTCCCTTGATAGGGTTATGGCTTAATGAAATGGTCTTTCCTCTGCTTGTTTTTGCCTCCTCCTGCACCGTGTGATAAGTAGCGAACCAACGAAGCTTGTAATTACAATCTTACAGAGAACCCAGCCAATCTGTATATAAATCTCACCATCCAATTACAAGATGTAATAATTTTGCAGTCAAGCTGGTAATGAGGTCTAATACTCATGCATGTGATAATCCCCCCTGGATGCTGACTCTATCAGATGTTAGCTTTGTAATTATACTGGCAGAAAATCATTATTTCATGTTCAGCAGAAAAATGAGGTTGGTGGGAAGTTAATTTTCTCTATGCTCTGTGAAGCATAGACAAAATTTTAATGATTTAATCATTATGGTTATCCCTTTTGCAATTGACCCGCGTTACTTCTGTAGAAACATTGGCACATTTAAAAGTCCCTGTTACCCGATAAAGCTTGCCAGGTATGCAGCTTTTAATGTAAGAATAACCGTATACAATTAAACTATTAACCTCCTTGATAGGGGAAAAATCCATAGTTTTTATGTTTTCATTATTTACACACAGGATCCAAAGGAATGTTTATGTCCAGTCTGCACTGTGATAAAAAAAGACTCTTAAATAAAGAAAAAAGAAAAATGCTATAATTAGGATGTAAGCTCTCAGAACAAAACAGCAGGTTCACAATGGTATTTTAGCAGCTCAGTAATCTTTTGTTCCTTTCCAGTGTAGGAGACATTCATGAGATGTTATACCTCTACACAAAGATCTTATTATGCATAATCAGCATTTTCACAAGAACTAGTTTAAAGGAATCACTTGTGATACATATTTTTAATTATTCTTTTATGCTCTCAGAATTTGCTTGTTATTTCTGTTTGTCTGGCCTGCCAGGAGAAGGACACAGAATAAGAGAGAAGTCACAACATTGAGATGGGAGAGTGAGAAAAAAACAGTAGTGCAAAATCAAAACTATAGGGAAGTAGGTAGGCAGGACAAAATAACAAAGTGTATTGCAAATTGCAACTAAGATATTTAAGGATAAATTACTTCAAAAAATTCAAGTTAATGAAAATGTCATCAAATTCTTTTGTGCTAGGATTTCACTGGAAGACATGTATCCAAATAGTACTTAAGCATCCCAACGTCACTTAGATTTGCAAGCTTAATTCTGCTATTTCTAACTTTTGATCCTGTGCCAATAATGTTCCTTTATTGGCTTATTTCAAATATATATGGGCATATATATATATATATATATGTGTATGTGTGTGTGTATGTATGTGTATAGAAATATTTTTGTGTATACATGCTGTGTTTCTGTAAGACAGACATTATAGAAAACCTAACTGAATCTTATCCTTTGGAAATATTTTTATATTTTCTTTAGAATGAGTAGCAGGATTAGGGCCTGTGCGGTACTTCAGTTGATGACTTTCAAGAAGGCTTGATCTGGTATGTCCAAAGGCTTACCAAAGCAGAACTCAATTAGTATATGAAATCTGTAAAAGATTACCTCATATTTGATTCCTGTTAGGCTTAGACGGTAGACATTGCTGTTGTCTCAAGACAAAAGCAGTTATGGATAATGTCCAGAGAATGACCTGCAGGTAGGCACTTCTTCTGAGCCCTTGAGATGGGGCTTATTCCACCTCACTTCAGATTTGTCCTTCCAGACCTGGTGGAGTAATCTAGAACCCCTTTACAGCCCATGAGCACATCAGGGCTGCCCTTCTCTTACCCAGCTGATGCATTTACCTTTTGAAAGGTGATCTGTATCCCAGAAGTGCCTTTTCATCCATTGACCATAAAAAGATAACAAATGTATAGTTCAGATGTTGGTAACTACTCTGTAGGCCTCAAAGATTAGTTGAAATAAATTGTACCCTTACCTCCTTTGTGGATCCAACCCAAAGTGGCTCTGGAGAAGGCCTGGGGTCTATTATGTATTAAATTCCT